TATTATTTTTTTTAATTGTTAAAATAGATAAATAAATATTAAATTTTAAGAAAAATGAAAGAAAAATGAAAAATAAATACCCCAAGTGTATTATAGTCATTTCAATTTTCGGAGGGACTATTTTCACATACAAACCACTCCAAAATGACCATGAATCCAAAAAACTCGGAATTTGGACTAAAACCCCAAAAATTTGCATACCTCAGGGACCATTTTTGCAATTTTGTCTATACTAATACAACGTATCAGCAAAAGTGACCATAGATCGAAATGAATATAGTACACAGTGAAGATGTTGACCTTGATTGGCCGTAGTAGGTTGCGGTTGCGGTTGGTGTTCCTTTACTCAATTCTACTTGCTTTCTTAATGGCGGTTCTCTCTCAATTTCTCAAACCCTAAATCTTTCTGTTTGGAACTCTGATAATCATCAATTATCACAGGTAAATCCACAACTAACCTCTGCTATTTCTCAATGTTTCAGCTTCATATTTTCTAATGATATATTTTTTTTTGTTCCCTTCATGGCGTTGTTCTTTAACGTCACAAACCTGCACTCTGCGTTCAGCCATTGATGCCATAGCTTTATCTGGATTCTCATGTGACTAAATTTTCCTTTCTTAGTTTTTTTTTTTTTTTTTTTTTTTTTTTTTTTTTTTTGTTCCAGTTCAAATGATTTGAGTTTGATGCCTGTTACTCTATCGATATTACATGTTTTTAGTCCGAAATTTGAAGCAGAACAGTACCCTTTAACCTTTTGATCTCAAATATCAAATTAAAACTGATATGATTCTTCCTACAGCTTTGACGCATGCAATCAGCTATAGTTACTAAGATAGAGCTATAAATTTATGACAAATTATATATCAATTTCGTAAAACGCTAAGTTTATCTCTAAAAATCGTAGTGCTTGTTTTGTTTTCTGTAATTTTTGAAACAGTGTGAGTATCAAATTTGGTGTAATTATCACAACTTAAAACAATTAGGAACTCCATGGGAATTAGCTTGAATTTTGTGTTCATTCTCTAAAGATCATTTAACAAACTCCATTTTAATCAATGTAATCTCATAAAGTGTACTGATTTTTGAATTTGAACTTCAAATAGGAGCTGCAAGTTAGTTAGGTAGGTCTGCTAATGGCTGATGACACAACAACCCTAAGTTACTGGTTGAACTGGAGGTTCTTCCTGTGTGCATTATGGGTCATCATTGCTATGATAGCAGCAGCTGTTTTAATCATTAAATATGAAGTCTTCAACAAAAGAACAAGTCACAGAAAAGAAGATGAACATGATGTGGAACCAATTGGGATCTTGTATGAAGATGAAACTTGGAAGACCTCTTTGAAAGCACTCCATCCTGTTTGGCTGCTTGTTTACAGATTAATTGCATTTGGTGTCATGTTAGCAGTTCTTATTGCTAATCTGATAACCGCTGGACCTGATGTACTTTTCTTTTACACTCAGTAAGTTGTTACAAGTCACAATCCCTTTATGTTTCATAGTTAATACACAAACCATTAGTTATGTTTTCTAACATCTTCCCTTTTGTGGTGTTTCTGACAAACAAACAGGTGGACATTTACTTTGGTGACTTTATATTTTGGGGTATTAAATTCTTGCTAATTATATCTATAACTATAAGTTTCCTTTGACCCTGAATCTTTATTTCTAATATAATGTAGCTTGGATCTTCACTTTCCATTCATGGATGTTATAAATATTGGAATGAAGTTGATGATGATAATAACAATCATGTTTTAGACACAGAAAGAGGCACTTACATTGCTCCCTCAGAGGGATTAAGTTCCCACAGAATGCCCATAATCCCTACCAATCACAAAGAGACTCATGATAGAAAGACTGCTGGTATATGGGGATATTTCTTTCAAATAGTCTTCCAGGCAAGTTTTTCAAAAAAAATAAAGCTTCAATTTGTGTTATTTCCATGAATACCCTTCCTCACTTTCTCCCTTAATGAACAGATATGTGCAGGTGCTGTTGGACTCACGGATAGTGTCTTTTGGTTCATAATCTATCCGTTTCTTACCCCTGCAGGGTACACTTTAACTTTAGTAAGTCTTTCTTGCATTTAGGCTTTCATGTTCTATGAGCTTATATATAAAACGAGATAAAAACATGCATGAACATGGACCTAACCATTTTGAGGGGTATTTTTGTCCATTTCAGTTGGATGTTAGCATGCATTCTCTCAATGCCATTCTCCTCATTATTGACATGATTCTCAATCGCCTAGTAAGTTTCATGTTTCCCATTTACTGTGTTCTTCAATTTTATACTTCTGACTTTGATTAACTTGTGTTTTTTTTGTTTTTTTTTTTTAATCAGCGATTCCCTTTCTTTCGTTTGGCCTATTTTGGTCTATGGACATGTATATTTGTCATTTTCCAGTGGATCGTTCATGCTTGTGTATCAATGTGGTAAGCCCAGATCTTTATTTTATACTATAATATATTTAAAATGATTTGTATAAATATTAGTTTCTTCATTTATAAAAAAAATGGTGAAAACCCTTTGGTCTATGTATGCTTTTATTTATATATTTACATGGTTTCCTTATTGCAGGTGGCCATATTCCTTTCTTGATTTATCATCTCCATATGCTCCCATTTGGTATGTTCTTATCTGAATTTACATTTTGTTAAACATCTTTGACGATTATAAATTTGATTTAACAGGCTTTCTACATACTATTTACTACATATATATTTATTTTTGCAGGTATTTAGGAGTGGGATTGATTCATCTCCCTGCTTATGGCATCTTTGCACTCTTAGTTACAGGGAAGCAACTTTTATTATCAAGATTTCTTGACACAAATGGAGCTTAATGTAGCAGGAACTCAACCATTTTACTTATAAAAAAATAAAGGAATTAACTCCAAGATCCTAAAGGTTAGATTCTCCTTTCTTAAAATTTACTTTTGGAATGACTTGTATCTGATGCAAAGAAACTTGTACTTTGATGCTATGCAAAAAAGGTTGTCACGATTTTGTGTAGAATTTAATTATTTGTCATATAAATGAGAGGACTTGTATTATGAAAATGAATTTGATTACTGAAAGATAACGTTTGTTAATATTAATTTTCCTTTTGGTTATTACAGGAGTTGGTGAGTAGAAGATGCAGAATCTCAATTATGTGATGTAAATTAGGGATTCTAATTGCATTTCTAATTTCTGTTGTATGTTTAGATTAGGAAAACATATTATTAGCCATATTAATGTAAACATGTCTCTTAATTTTATATATATATTGTAGATAGTGTCGTCACACATAAATTATGGATATAGAGCCTATGTAAAGGTGACAATTTTCTCACTCATTTGTGTTATGTTTCCTTTGAGTACACGAAAAATAAGTTAATCAAAAAATGAAGCTTGTCAAAAGATATGTTTGGAAAAAAAATTAAAAACTTCTAAAAAGCTAATCTAAGTAGCTTCTTAAAACAAATTAGCTTATAAACTTACTCTTTTGCTTGTCAAACTTAACAACTTAAAAAAAATTCAAAAAATAAACTTAACAACTTTAAAAAAATTCAAAAAATAAACTAATATATCAGCTACTTGTGGCACACAAAATATAACCCTTAACCTGTCTTGTTGCATCTCACAATAATGCACACAATAGCATTATGTATACTTTTAAATATGATAGCAAAAATATCTGAAATCATGCTAGGTTTGATGGGACCTTAATTGCTTCAATTTTTTGACAATGATATTTATATATCTTATAATGATAAAAATAATGTTAACTTACAAATCAAATTGCATTTTAATTTTACAATTAATTAGCTTTATCTCGTGATGTTTCATGCTTAAAATTTTTATATACTATAGCATTACGTTGTATTATCAATTATCATCTCTAATAAATGAAATTTTTTTTGTCACTTGTCACACTCTCATTCAATTTGTCAAATGTCATTTTGTGGTTATTTTTAATTATTTTTTTTTCCAAATGTCATTTTATGAGTACTTCTATTTTATTAAATTTCATATAATATTTTAATGTAACAATTGCAATAAATGTAGTAATAAATAGATATTAATTTCATTAATAAACTTACCTTTTAATTTCAAAATTCCCAAAATTAAAGTTCATTAGTTTTTTTTCTTTATTTAAACTATTTTGTTTAAATTTAAAAGATAAAAAAAACATTTACATTATAATAATTCATTATTTTTCTTATTTTCTTATAAATTCAAAGTTCTCAAATATTTTGACTTTATATTTAAATTTTTTTTAAATTAACTTATGTAATACATGGGTCTCACAACTAGTGTCTTTACATTTTACATCATTGAATCTTTTAATTAAGCTACCAATTTAAGTAAGAAATAAATAAAGAGAGAATGACTAATCTAGCCAAATCAACTAATGATTTTTCATTTAATAGTCAAATATTTCCAATTAGCCAAAAATAATCAAGGAAACCGTAGACGAGCAAAATCATCTACTTTTTTGGGGATGGTCTACCGTCTACCGGTCTACAGTTTCGTTGTCCAATATAAAAAAAAAATCATTTTTTTACCAAAACCGTAGGTGATTGACTCACCTACGGTATGCTATGTAGAAAATACGATTTCATGTCCGTATGAACTTGAAGAACAAAACAACAGGCCAGGGTTCGAAAAACTATTGTTTCCTTAAAAAAAAAAAAACTATTTCGTTCTTGGCATTCAATTATTTTTTCGATCAAACTACGGAATCAACCAAAATAACATTTACATACAACTAAATCACTATACAAGTTAGGAAAAAAAAATTGCACAAACCGTAGGTGCGGTATGCCACCTACGGTGTAGAAACTGCTTGCACATTTGTATCAACTTGTACACCATAGGTGGCATACCGCACCTATGGTTTGCGGGTTTTTTTTTTAAAGTTTTTTGCAAAAAAAATATATACCCAATACTAATAGATTTCATAGTAAACGACATAAAAAAACGAAGATTACGAGAAATACCGGGTTGTTCGGAGCCGCCATTGAGAGCGTTTCTCTAGCTTCAAACACTCAAAAATGACCTAAATGTAATTTTTCAACTTTATATATTCTTAGCTAATGTACTCTTAAACAGTAGACGGGCTTCGAAACAGTAGCTCATTGCCTACAAACCGTCGCTCATTTAATCCGGTTATGACGAAAGCGTAGGTTTTCTTAATTGTCTATTGTTTCATTGGCTAATTTAAGCTAAAGACTAATTTTTGGCTATTAAGTGAAAAATAATTAGGTAATTTGGTTAGTTTTGTCGTTTCTCATAAATAAATGAATTAATAATTAGCCAAGATTTATAAAACGTGAGACATGGTTTATCTGCACAACAAAAGGGCATATCGTCAATCACTAAATCGTTTTCCTCACCTATTCACGTGCCAACTTATAATCCCCCAAATTAACATAATCTAAAAAAAGTAATAACATCAAAAATATGCTAACTTAAAATATATCTATCAATTTATAATAGAAATACTCATAAATCAGTGTTTCACAATTCACATAAATGTTATAATATGATTCGACAAAAATATGTACTCTTATGTTTCAATGATGAATATGTATGTTTTATACTCGATATCTTGATCTATGACAAACTTTTTGACCTTACATGTTTTTTTTTTAAATATATTGTTTTTTATAAAATTTCGATCTAAATATTTTAAATTTGATTATAAACATTCTCAGTTCGTGAGTGTAACACTATAAAATAGTCAAATACGAGGGGTTTTGCACAATTTATGAAAGAAAAAGGTGCTCCCCGTTGTTGACTTTTTGTCCTCACTCCATTGCTAATAAATCAATAGTATAAACATGTATTTGACACTTCAAGAAAAATCTAACAAAAAATAATATTAAACTAAAGTTTATAAATATGCGTAATTAATAACGCCCGAAAAGATAACATATCAATACCAATATAATGATTGTAATAAAGTTTATAAAAATAACACGTACATTCTAAAATAATTATATTATGTAATTATGCACTCCTAATAATTCGTTGAATATGTTTAAATTTGGATATAAGAATAAGGCCTATAGGAGGTATTGAACGTATTCTCAAACTGTTTACTGCAACATTTACGAACTAATATCATAGTTGTACAAATATTTATTCAAATTACAAATTACTAAATAATATGCTTGCTAACAGAAGCCCTATTACAAAATTCGATATCTACTATGTAAATTAATTATTTTAATATATATATATATATATATATATATATATATATATATATATATATATATTTTGAAATCATAGTAAACTTATGATAACGAGGTTTACTGTATACTATTATACACTCACTTGGTGCATCACAAACGAATCTTACTTTTTTAATTTAAAAATACGATAAAAAAATATATAATTAATAAATGTAAATGCATTTTTATATTATTTATTTATTTATTTGTACCTGTTGTGATACAAGTTTTACCAATTTTGACTTGTGGGTGTTGAGGTGTGAGGTGGCCGGTAGGTATCGTCCAGATTACTCTTCTTCCCGCTAAAAGAAACACCCAATAATTTCTAAATAAATATAATTGAAAAATAAATAAAAAGCCACCAAATTCAACTATAAATTGTTAAGTGTTGGTTCAACATTCTCAGAGTATCCGTTGCATTGCATCTTTCAACCAACAACAACAACACACACACCCTTTTCTATCATCTCTCACCGGTAAGTTTCAAATTTCTTCAACCTCTATTTGATTATATGCCAATTCATGATCTGAGGTTTTGATAAATCAATCCAATTTTTAATATCTTGAGTAATCTGATCTGGGTAATGTGGATCTGAGTTAAGATTTTCTGGGTTTGGTTTTGGCGAAGAACAGGGTTTTAGGACAACAGAAATGGCACGCAAGAAGATCCGAGAGTATGATTCCAAGAGGTTGGTGAAGGAGCATTATAAGAGGATTTCTGGTTCTGAACTGCCCATCAAATCTGCACAGGTAAAAAATAATTTCATGATTTTTTTTTTTAAATTATTTTTAGATCTATGGCTTTCATTTGGTGCCCTAATTCTTATTGTTATATAACTACATGCAAACTTTAACTCGTCTCAAAAACCATTTTCCTTTTTAATCTGTAATTTGGCTCTGATTTCATTTCTCACTCCAATATTGACATGATACAGCCATTGGCTAATTAGACTTGGTGACTGTTTTGATTTTAATTCCCTTTTGACCCAAACTTTGGGTTTTGAGATTGAAATATGTTTCATCTGAATCCAAGTAAAAAGAACTGAAATACGCAAAAATACTCCCTTTATGTGTGACCTTTGAGCACTATTTTATCAATTGTTGCCGAATTCTTCATTGATCGATGTCTTTTTGGTGCATTAGGTTACAGAATCAACCGACTTCAATGAGCTTGTAGAGAGGGAACCATGGTTATCTTCATCCAAACTGGTTGTGAAACCCGACATGTTGTTTGGAAAGCGTGGCAAGAGTGGACTTGTTGCCCTGAATCTTGATTTGGCTCAAGTTGCTGAATTCGTAAAGGAGCGACTGGGGAAAGAGGTAATCACTGTTTAGAATGAAGAATTGAATCAAACAGAATGGAATTGGTCATTCCATTCCATTACAACAAGAGAACGAATCACATCTCTTAAGGAATACTCCATTACATTCATACGTGGCAAACAAACATGATTTACTTATTCCATTCTATCTTTGATTTCCATTATTAAAAAACTTCTCTGGATTTGATAGGTTGTAATGGGAGGATGCCAAGGACCCATAACCACATTCATTGTTGAACCATTTGTCCCACATAACGAAGAGTTCTATATCAACATTGTTTCTGAGAGATTAGGGTGTAGCATTAGCTTCTCAGAATGTGGAGGAATTGACATTGAAGAAAATTGGGACAAAGTGAAGACAATATTTTTACCAACAGGGGTATCTTTAAATCAAGAAATCTGTGCTCCACTTGTTGCCACTCTCCCATTGGAATTCAAATCTGTAATCGAGCAGTTCATCACACACATATATTCCCTATTCATAGGTAAAAAAAAAAAGGAAGCAAAAATCATATTTTTTCCCCCTAAATCATAAATCTAGTCAAAACCCGTTATTAATCTTGGTGTTTTCTTTCATTTTTAGATCTTGATTTCACTTTCCTAGAAATGAATCCGTTCACATTGGTAGATGGAAAGGCTTATCCTCTTGATATGAGAGGCGAGCTTGATGATACTGCTGCTTTCAAGAATTTCAAAAAGTACACATCTTTTTAATCTTGATTTCCATACTTGTGGCAGCTTTGTTAATTCCTCTAACTTCTCTTCTAATTTCACAGGTGGGGCAGTATCGAATTCCCAATGCCCTTTGGAAGAGTTATGAGTGCTACTGAAAGCTTTATTCATGGACTTGACGAAAAGGTACACATTATATTTGAAAGTTTAAACCCTTTTTTTTCAAGATTTAGTTTTAAAATGTTATTTTTTGGTTTCTTGCAGACCAGTGCATCTTTGAAGTTCACTGTTCTTAACCCAAAAGGGCGAATTTGGACTATGGTGGCTGGTGGTGGTGCTAGTGTCATCTATGCAGATACAGTTGGAGATCTTGGTTATGCTTCTGAGCTTGGAAACTATGCAGAATATAGTGGTGCACCCAATGAAGAGGAAGTTCTGCAATATGCTCGAGTTGTGATTGATGTAATTACCATTTTACCCTTCAAGAATATGGTTCATGTCAAGTTCCCTTGTTTTTTGAATTCTGATTGTTTATTTTCTTTTCAGTGTGCAACTGCTGATCCTGATGGTCAAAGGAGGGCACTTGTGGTGGGAGGTGGAATTGCTAACTTCACTGATGTTGCAGCCACCTTCAATGGCATCATTCGTGCAATGAAAGAGAAGGTGACAAAATCAGATCTCATCTTTTTAACTTTTAAACCAAAAGGGCAAAACTGACTTTTCCATTGGTTAAAAATGTGTAGGTAGCTAAGTTGAAAGCTGCAAACATGCACATCTATGTGCGAAGAGGAGGTCCAAATTACCAAAGAGGACTTGCAAGAATGCGTGCACTTGGAGCCGAACTTGGTATCCCCATTGAGGTACATTATTAGATCTTATTTTATTTCCCTTCACAATTCTTTACTTTTGGAACCTTTCAAGGGCAAATTAGTCAATAATTTACTTTGGCTTGTGTGTTGTAGGTGTATGGGGCCTGAGGCAACGATGACAGGAATATGCAAACAAGCAATTGAATGCATCTCGGTTTCTGCTTAAATTTGGTGGATCTGATTGGACTCTTTTAGCATATGTTTCATCAAAAATGTTAAAATCTTGGAATTTATACGTCAATAAGAGTGTTGTAAGTTGAATATTATGATTTGTATCTTTGGGTTAAGTGTATGATGATGCCTTTGCTCATCTCTATTTTTGGGGTCTATTGTTCTTTGGATCCACATTTGGGATGAATACAAGGAAACTGTTTTTGCAAATTTGAATGAGTTTTTTGGCCTCTCAAGCCTATTTCACGAAGTAACTCACTAATAATTATGGAATTACAAGAATGAAGACCCTCAACATTTCAACAATCTTGAATACCATCCCAACTTTTCATCCATGTTCTCTCTATATCCCATCACACCATGGACTCTTAACTATTAATCTTATTTATATATGATAAATATAATCACTTTTCTTATATGAATTAATATCAAAACCTTTTCTAAATAGAGTTTGAGTGTACAGTGGCGGATCCTTTAAGGGGCCAGGGGAGGCCATGGCCCCCCATGTTTTTTCCTTTCTTATACCAGTAAAATACAGAAAAATCTTTAAAATGCATTTGCAGATCGTTGAAGATGGTAATTATCTATTTTTACCTATTTCATATAAGAAAACCACCTCTTGATTTTAGCAGCATCAGAAAATAAACAAAACAGAAAGGTCTTTTGAGTAAGAAAAAACCCAAAAAAAAATTTAATAATCAAAATGTAACAAATCCTAATCAATATTAATCTCTATTTTAAAATAAAAAAATCACGAATCTTTTAATCTAAGAAAATCCACAAATCTTACATATTATCGGTACCTAATAGTACAAAAAGTTAAAATAAATAATTTCCAAAACTCAAAAATTTTAAAAACCCTAACCGATATAGAACTTCACGCCGTTCACAGCTTCTCCATTGATCTGCGGTACATCGTCTCCCGTCACAATCTTCAAAACACCACTGGTTACTGTTGAATGTCGTCCTTGACTCTGGTCACCGCCTTTGACTCACGCCTGTTGCCACTTACCAGGTTTTGCCGTTTTAAACTGTCTGTTTTTCAACCTTTTGTTACTTTCTCTCACGTTGATGATCTTATTTCTTTCGACTGATTGTTAATTTGTAATAATACGGAGTTATGATAAATATGACTATGAGTATATGACCCAATATCTCATGTCTGATAAAGTAGATATGACAATACAATAAAGTAAATGAGATACATTATAAGAAGTTCATAAAGTAAATATTTTTTAATGTTTAATGTGTCAACTGTGTGTAGAGATACTTTAATGTATAGAATAAAACTTTTAATTTTTATCTCTGTTTATATATTATATATTTTGTGAATATATTGTTATGTTTATTTATTTTTTTTTTGTTTTTTACTAGCTATTTCATGATGTAATCGTTTCATTAATTTGATTAGTTTTCTGAATTGTTTATTTTATACGTATAATATGATTTACGAGTATTGTACATAAATAAAAGCCTTGTATGCAAATTGTTCAAACATATAGTCTAATTTAAAGTAATATTTATACTATATGTGTATAACTTTGTCGGCCCCCTCACTATTCATGGTTGTGTTCCGCCCCTGTGAGTGTAATACTAAGTGAATGGCTCTTTTCGAGTTAATGAGGACATAACTTGATGGGATAGATATATAGGAGCGCTTTTTACTTAATATATATAACATGTCTTGATATGTTCAGTGAAGGAAGGAAGCATTTATCCATTTAGATCTCCTTTTTATTTCTTTACCCTTCAGCCTCACTTCTTTTTATAGCCCTATGGCTGTTTTCCACTTCTAGTCTCCATGTTCCATCTTCTCCATTGCTCCATTGTCACATAACATCTTCCCATTGGGATGCATGACACAATCAATACTACGTTGTATCATTGTACAATGAAGTTTGGCATTGAAGAGCTTCAAAGAAAATATATCTAAGACCATTATAAAGATTTGTCAACAACCAGAATAATTTAACTCCTAAAACATTTTGAATTCATTACTTTTTTTTACTAACGCTTAGATTGTATTTTCAGCAAGTATACCTTCGTTCCCAACATTCATATCCCAAATGATCATAATTACATAGAGTAGCACGCTAGCAATGCTTTGGAAAATTGTTAAGCAGTATGAACTAAATCGCAAGAAGCAAGCCTTGTAGGCTAAGAAATGTATCACGTTACTTATGAGTTATGATGCATATCATGTGCAGCAAGCCGCAAAGACTTGATCAAGAATATATTTAAGGCTCTTCTCTTCTGAGCATTCCTCGTCAATTTAGAAATATTGATGGTATAGTGGATTTATGTGCAAGAAACAAATAATTTTTTTTTTAAACAACATTTTGTTAAGCTAGACAAAGCCAAACAGTTGCATCAAAGAAATAGTAAGATCAGGGTCTTGAAGCCAACCAACCCAATTAAGATTAATTATGTGTTTTTTATGCACTAATTTTTTATTTATAAAGTCCTATCAAATCTCAACTAGCCTTAAACACAAATAGGCAGTGTATCTAGTCGTGAAGTAATATAGTTTAAGGTAAAAAAGGGTGTCGAACTCATGGAACGAGAATGGTTTAGATCAAATAATTCAAATGCTAATTAAATTTATAGAAAGGGTAAAAAGGGTTTTTATTTAAACTAAATTAAACTAGGTTTAACACTCAATTAAACAAACAAAGTAAAGAACTAAATTAAAACAATAGATAAGAAGTACTTCCACTAGAATTCGTGTCCCCCAAGTTTTTTATGTTAGATTTATTAGAAGTTCAATGGATTAATGAGTTGATTATCGAATTGCAATATGACTGGTTATCTTGGTAGGAATTCCTAGTACTAATAATTAATGAACAACTAACACAATGATCATGCAATTAGTGAGCACATAATTAATTAAATATATTCGAACTATGAATGATATAATCTATTGATTTCTTGTCAATGATCATAACAATCAATCTAAGCATAATATGAATATTTAATGCTCTCTAACACAGTTAAAATCACCGATTAATATTACCTAACCCTAGGCTATCAAAGTCCCAATCCTACAAACCTAATGATCTTAGATTCATATGATTCAAGTACATCAAGATAGAATGATCATCTAATCCTAATAATACTAAGCAATAAGCAATTAAAAAATCATAATTTTAACATGAAAGGTAAGGCGATCAATCAAACACAAGTATTAACAGTGGCGTAGCCAGGATTTTGTTTTTGGGTTGGCCAAATAATATACAAAATATGAACAAGTGGCAAAATTCTTCAAACGATAACAAAATGTAACTATATATGCATTCTTAACTAAATTTTTTATTTTAAGTTGCACACGATGTTGTCTTACATCATTAAAATAATCTAAAACGGAGTCTAATCGACATAGACAACAATTTATTATCTTCTACTAATTTCAAATTTTGAATGGAATAGGCCATATCACAACCCTAATTCATTTTATTTAACAAAAAACTATATTGTACATACCATATATATGTAACCTTAATTTTGTGTGGGTGGGCCAAGGCCCACTCTTGCCCTATATTGGTTACGCCCATGAGTATTAACCAAACTCACATAATCCAATATAATGAAATCAAAACATATTCAACTAAGGTTCATCAAGATCTAGTGAAAGTAAATGTCTTTACACCATAATCAGTCAACTGAAGTAGAAAAACATCACCAAAAGATTGCTAGACATGATCATCAAGCAAACCCGAAGTGAAATGTAATGTCCCAAAAATTAAGACAAAAATTTTCGTTTTTAAAGTAATAAAACCATTATCCAAAACATCATCATAAAAACCATGGTGAAACAAAGTGTATCAACTACATCAGAGTAACATAAAATACGGAACGAAGTGGTGTGTGCACTGCAATCATCCTGGGCTCTTCCCTTTCAAACAAAAAGTACCTGAAAACCGTAAGCACAAAGCTTAGTGAGCTCCCCAAAATACCACATACCATACATAATAAGCACATAATGGGCCCCGCCCGTCATCGGGCCCCACCCAGTATACATATAACATATAAACACATAACACTGGCAATAATCACAAAGATAAATAGCATACAACATGGTCATCGGGCCCCGCCCGGTACACATACAAACACATACATATGCAAGAGTCACGCAGACATCTAGCATCCTAAACATAACAAACCATGGGTTGTTATTGGTGCCTTCGACCCGCAAAACATAGTAAGGAAACTCACTTCTAGCTACTGAAACACTCAAATGAATCTCGGTTTGTTGGTCTGGAAAAATCCCCGCGTTATCATTGTCACAATAATATCTAATTAATAATTGGATCTCGACCCATAACCAAGAATCTAAGCTACTTAGCCCATAATCAGGGTAAAAGACCATTTTACCCTTTTTCTTACTTGGCCCAAAACCAAGGCCCAACCCAAAGCCCAATATGGCCCAATCTTCCAAATTGGGCCCAAAACCCATCATGGGCCTAAATCCAAGGAAGCCCAAAAGACTAGTTAAAAGCCCAAATCATAATTCTAATGGCCCAACAAGGCCCCATTATTAAAAAACCAAACTATGGCCCAAACCGAGAATGTCAAGCCCAAAGGTGCATCTATTGAGTATGTGGGGCGTACTCAGCTCGTACGCTTAGCGTACTCCGTCTGTGGTCAGTACGCGCAACGTACCAGCTGGGTACGCCTAGCGTACTCCCCAGACTACCAAACCACTTCATTAAGCACTTAATCGGCTAAGACAATGTGCCAAACTCTCATATCTTATTCTATAAGGTAACTTATCACATAAAGTTGGAAACTTTACACTCATGCATGGCTTAATGGGACCCAACACTCAAAAAAAAGCTTAATAAAGCTCTTTACACTTGCATGGATCAATATCTTTCACAAAGTTTGCATTTTTATGAACAATGGACCTCTATGGAGCTAAGATCTAACATCTATTGATT